GAAACTGTACGCAATTTAAGCCATGTTGATAATGCTGAGGATATGTGCTTCGCATCTATTAGAATTCCCAGGGTCTTTGCGGTTATCCTATTAGGAAACCTCACATATTTGTGAAAGCTCGTGGCATGCTCTCATTTATCGTATAAATAAACCACTTATTGGCAGTTGTCGCTAGTAAACGCTTATTTCGTACTGTCCACCGCGTGGTATATATAAGTTCCCGTTCTACAATTCGTTGTTGTTTTGTGTTATTCCATTTATTCCATTCTTTAATGTTTTAGCCTCTTCCTGTCGAATTTTTTATTGGTATTGTTTTCGTTTTGGATCTTGTTCTATGTTTTTATTTCGAATCTTCTTCATCACATTGCGGTCCGCATTGCTGTACTCTCTCGTTTTTCATTTCATCGTACCTCTCCGTCTCTCAATGCGGTCCGGTGATCGGTTATGTTCAAATCACATGATTTATGCATCAATTGATCTGCACAGTCTGATTTGTGTCTAAGGTTAATTCGGTTCCTCAATAAGTTCCATTGTAACGATGATTGTTGTGGTCATTTTTGTTTTGTTCTCATTCTTTCTTCACGCATGCCTAGTTGATGTAAACAAAATGCGACAGTGATAATGTCCGGGGAGGGGTGGTGGTGGTGCATACTCGTTATCGTAGCTTTTTCTGGTGCTTGTTTTTTTTCGTTCACCGGCATAGCAGTGATGAAGGCTATATAGAAGTATTGTTGAAAAAATAAAAGTTTGCATGCTGAGGGTAATATTTGAATGTACAGCCTAGTGTAATTTCTGATTTTCGGGTCACATTGGATTGTATCATCCAACACCATATCTTCCATTTTGAGCGGAATGTGGAAAAAACGAGTTCTTTCCAATGCTATCCATATCCGTTAAAGATTGGATACATAAACAGATGCGCTGCCTCAGGTTTTTGAATTCAGATTTTACTCCGTGTTTCGTCTCGTGCAGGAAGCAGCATTCGGAGAAAATCGATACAGCATGTGCATCTCATACGAATAACACTTAACGATTCACTGAGATGAAAAGTATGAGCGACTTGACATGTTTCCATCTGAGGTGGTAATTAACGTTCGATTAACTGCAAATCAAAGATAGGGCTTTTTGTGTTATCTATATTGACTTGCTGTTTTCCTTTATACATTGAGAGATATCGTCCTTTAACAATAATTTTATTACACAATCTTGTGTGGTTAACAGCAGATGGAATCAACCCAATAGTCCTGAATACCTGATGTTTAATGATGGAAACCAGCAAATTAAGGCCCCGGACTCTTAGCGGCGAGCCACATAAGACCCCTCTAGGTTAGGCGTGTAATTGAACCGGATGACAGAGAAGCTGTCTACCACCAAAAGATGAACAGTTTAGAAGTAGAACCATATCACTTTATTCACTCGTCTAGAAGCCTGCTATGTTTACTCCTTTCGACTTGTTCACTCTAGTTGCAATATTTCGCAATCTTCTCTTATTTTTGAGCCTTTTTTGCGGTTGTGAACCCATTATTCTGTGCTACACTGATCATTAATTCACTCAACCTAACTACCTCAATTCCTACCTGCAACATCGATTCTATCAAGTAATTTGTTCATCTTAACTCTATGCACACTTCTGGGTCTCTCGATCGATCCTGGTTGCTCTTTCATCAGTTGATTCTTTTGTTTTCTTCAAACTCGGTCCATACATGACGTCCTGACGCCTTCAAACGTCACCTGAGAACTGTTGTATTTGTTATTCCCTAAATCGCTCGAGTTACCTGACCGTCAGACCCGGGGGAGTTATTGTGTTTAAGTAAGTGAACACAAGGTCGATGGACCAAGTGCATACCCACATCATGTAACTCTAATTTCGTCGGCTGCTTTATGCCAAACTGGATTAATGCATATTTTGTCGTGGCACCGTTTACATATAACGCTTCTGTTTAGCTGTTCGTCTTATAAGTCCAAAGGCTGATAGAGCACAAAGTGCGTTGTTTCTCGAAAATCCCTCAAATTAATAATGAAATATTCTCGTGGAAATAAATGTATTTCGTTGAGAATAGTACAGTTTAGTTGATCCGATCCCGCTTTGAAATACCCAAACGTATTGGTGCATCCTCTTCACCGGAACCGCGATCGTTGTTTAATGTTTCATTGTGAATCCCAATCAAGGCTGGACCACCTCGATCTGTCGCTCATTCAGGTTGTTCAAATACTTCTGGTTCAGTCGTTTATTTTAGCCCAGTAGAAATTCATGGCAGTGTGTTTGTTTGTGAGTCGAATGGCATCATTACCACTCATTGCTTCTGGATCTCTTGTTATCACTTCCGGTGCAGACTGTCCCAACTATTCACTCCTCTCCCCAACAGAGCACACGGTTTGAATTTTTCTCGCTTTATTTTATTCTAAATCATTATTATTTTGCCGTTAGCAAACCCTAATGAAGAAATTCTATTTGTTGTTATCCAAACAAATCTCGGAATATACAAGCGATGCACATTGAATGAATAATAACTAATTCATCAATTCGTGAATGTATCGTTTTTTTTCGGTCCATCAGTTTCCCGTCAAACCAAGCAACTTGGTTACTTGTTTACCGATAATGGTACAATAAAACCCTTGGAGCTTGACTACAGAGAACGTTTTTAAAACTAGCATAAACATAAATCGAGAATACTAATATTTTAATCCTAATTGCTGTGGTCATCTTAATAATAGAACGTTCTAAACCAATAGTTTAATCATCCTAAGGAGATTCAACAGGTGGCAGTTAGACAGAGCTTAGAACCAGTTGGTGGAAAATATCATGTTTTGCCTTTTTTATATGAGGACATCAGTTTCATAACAAAGAAATCAAGTTATCCATCCAGAATGCTTCTGTGAATAATCGTGGAACCGCAGTGTATTATTTGAAATGGCCTTTTCTGCCCTATCCAACCGCCTCACCATAGTCGGTTTATATTTTCAATCTGACTACCATTTAAGTTGTGGACGAATTCGGATCTTAACAAATACGGCTAGAATACCTTTCACAAAATCCATTCGAAACACTTAAAAGCACCTCGGCGGGGTCACTAACGGCTTATTGAGGCCTGTCACTCATGTTAACCGATTCTGACTTCACTGTATGNNNGTCAATCCGCTTATCCTTTATGGAACAGAGACAAGATCGTTACGAAAAAAAACAGATTGTTGATGTTCGAACACCACTGCTTACGGTGCATTGCCACAGTTTAGTGGAGCAACCGAACAAGAAATGCCGAGTTCGGCGACGAGTCTCAGTCATCCATTAGAGCAAGTGCTAAATCTTCATAAATTAGTTGGATTTGGGCATATCACCTGATAGACTTCCTCAGAGTGCAGTGTTGGCCCAAGCAGCTGGAGGGTGAAACTGAAGTCAACCTTCAGGGTATGAAAGCTCTGACCAGAGTTGTCTAGGTTTCCTGGTTGATGAGCTCGGAATCGGTCGCATCCATGCTTAGAGACACTAGGAATCAAAAACAGCGGTATTTGTGCATCTCACTTCCTTGGTAAGTAAAGTTTGACTGCGTTTTGTATTTTTATCCCGGTATTACTTCCAACGTTTTACTTCTTCGCCCCAATCCTTGCAAATAGGCAGCCGAAGGATATCAACAAAGACCGCTGCGTGAAAGCGCAAGGTTTTATAAACTCAGTGGGAATACACACTTCTTGGTTAAGCGTCGCGTACGACCGCATACGTTTTCTCGGGAGCCACCATCTCCCGAACAGAACAGTTGCAATAGTTGTACATGCAACTCACCACGAATTACCGCTCATCCAAGTGTCCTCATTTCGATCAGTCCGTTGTATATTTTTATACTACATTGTGTGTCCGCACACTCGGCTACAATAGTTAGTCGAAGTCGGTCCGTTGTGCAAACGTTAATCTCTCAGTTTGTGGTGGGTGGGTTGGTTTCATGCTCAGACTTGACCAGGGTAGTTATTTCGCGCTTCCCAGGTTGGGTTCCGAAGGATCCTGCAACTGGTTGGTTAGAGACATTGAAGGATATGGCAGCGAACCAACAGCAGTGGCGTTTTTGTTATTTCTTATCAGGTCAAAATGCTTGAAATGGTATGTATTCACAGTTCAATTATGTTCTCTGTGTGTTGACCATAGAGGTTTACCTTCTCTCTCCCTCATTATAGATCTGATCCCTCTTCACCTCGCATATTACCACTACCATTGTATACATTGTGAGTTTGGCAGCGATCAGTGAAGTTTGCTTCACTGTATTTCGCTGTATGGTGATGAAGATGATTAGACTTGAATGGGATCAGTCGGCAGGTTTAGCCAAGATAGATAAATGCATCCACACCACAAATTGACATAGATGCTGAAACTTTTATTCATTTATCTGGTCTTTGTAAGTTCGCACAGATTTCCTTTCAGAGTCCACGAGGTTTTTCTGTTTTGGTAGTTTGATATACCAAATGAATGGTGACGATCTCAGGTCACGCATTTTTTTGTTTACCAAGATTTTTTCACTGACTTAAAGATTGCGCTACCATTATCTTCTGTATATTGTTTATTTTGAAACTGATTTTGCATATAGCACCCTTTTGATAATTATTTGTTCGAAAAAACCTGACGGTATTTCGTGGTCGTTTGAATTTTTTTTTAGTTATGCAACTGTTCACTTTCGTTGACATTCATCCATAAACTGGGCTTGTGGTTGTTTCGATTGAATATCACGTTTTCATGCAGTGGTCAAGCACTTAACCCCATCATGGTTAAGTTTCAAACTGGAAACTGATCTCTTCTCGTTTCCCGAATAAGACTTTGCTATCTTCTGCACGAATAAACGCGGTATTCGCGGTCAATAACACTCCCTTAGGTGATTTTCACTAGCTGTCTGAATTGTGAGAGAATTCTTTCCAGCACTTTAGTTTCCATGACAATGGTTCATCATGTACTTTTTCATGGGCAAACTAGTGAAACACCGCCCTGTCCATTATCTTATGTATCCCTCTGCTCAATTTAGGCCAAAGCTGACCCCCAGGCACGCAATTTAGACGGCAAAACTCCGATTGAACTTGCTGAGGGAGCAGCCCGTTTGGCCTTGCTAGGTGAGTACCGGAAAGATGAATTACTGGAAGCGGCTCGAAGCGGTAACGAGGAGAAATTGATCAGTCTGCTGATTCCACAAAATGTGAACTGTCACGCTGGTGATGGTCGTAAATCTACACCGTTGCATTTGGCTGCAGGCTACAATCGGTAGGTTCTGCTGGTTCACTTGGATTTACTATTTTTGACAAGTTGAACGCATGTTCATGGAGGCTCGTGAAATTCTCCAAAGAATTGTTTCGCTTTCACTCATTTCTCGAATGTACCAAATTTCGCTGTTTTTGTGGAAACACAACTTTTATCTAAGGTTTAAACTCAAGTCACC